TGTTTTTCTGTCTAATCTCATGTTCATGTGAATATTGTGAACGTTGATTTCCAAAGTCCTGGTCAAATATAGCAGCAAAAATGCAGACAATGAAACAGGTGGTTTTAATATTGGTCTCTCCCCCCAGACATCCAAGCATCTGAGCTCCTCGCGCAGTGTCTGGTCTGATTCAGAATTCAGCACTGCACTGGTTCCTGAGGTTATGTTCTGCTTGGAGTTTCTCTTTTGGGGGGGGAGGGTGGGAAGAGGGAGAGTGCACCCTGTCTTAGCCATTTACTTGTCTCTGTGAATGCACATGTTTTTGCCTCTCACTGGCTTACCTCTGTGATTTGATTATCTGGGCTTTTGTTCTTAAAGTGAGTGAGTAGAAGGTACTCTGCTAGGAATTAGTTTTGCACATCCCCTCAGGACCAAAAATCCTTGGCCACAATTAAAGTGGAGTCTAAGCATATGCAGCATGACATTCTTTCACCTACCCCACCCCAGCCCCGACTTTTTCTTTCCTTTCTGTTCCTTCCTTTTAAAAAGGCTACTCCATTCCCTTAGGATTTCAGCCTTATTAACTAGGGCTTGGTGCACTTCATAGTGATTATTTCTTTGAATTTTCTAGTAGTGTGGACTGACTTTTGCATTTTCTCAATCCATATTCTCCAACTTTCAACTAGTGTGGAAAACTATTGGCTCATTGTTATACTAATAATGAATACATCAAAGAAAAATTTTCACAGATGATCATGTAAATGTCCTAGTAACGTCAGTCCAGCTGCGCTCTCCAGAGGCCTTGGGTTCCCATTGTCTTGTGCAGAGAGTACTAATTGGAACTGAGTTTCTTTTTCAAATGTCATGGAAGAGGCGTGTTTCTGCCTTTAGCAGCTCGGGTGTCGGCACTTGAAGCTTCAGCTGGCACATCTTTCTTGCAATAGCTGCAGTCATGAAGCTGTGTTTCTGGCAGTCTCTTGGTCTCTGTCTGAAAAGCCATGTTCTACTTCCCAGACCCCTGTCACCTGTTCTTACAGAAAAGGATAAAAAGAATGTATTTGGGGCTTCAATTCTATATTGTGAGAACAGCAGGAAAGCAT